CTTGTGTCCATGAACGGTTCGTGGGTCTCAGCATCAAGCAGCTGGACCCACATCGACTTCGTTTGTGCATGTTTATTAATTTGTGGAGTGAGAGGAGAAGGTTTTCTGTGCATATGTGTGTCGAATGTCAGCAGTTGAAAACAATAGACTCTAATAATTTTTCACAAGGTTAAACCCGTTTCATGAGCTGGGTCGATTGTAGCCATTTCACACCCAAGTCTGATATGATTGGCTCGAAGCCGACGGAGTGCCACCAATCAGCATCAAGAATGAGAATTCTTCATCTGGTTATCCATAATCCTTTCAGCAGAGCAACGAAAACAAAATAATGGAGACTTGTGCCCTCGCCCCGAGCTTAATACTCACAGCCGTGACGGTGGTTTGTCGTTCCTACCCGTTAATTGAAGTCTTGAGCCACGTCGTACTAAATCTCGACGCGTATCTAGACCCGTCCATCACTTGGTCCATCCCAGACGCTTGCAGATTCGATTCTCTGCGCCTCCTCGACCGAATCGCTGTACGGATCGATACTAACGAGAAAAATCTCAATAAAGAGGGAAATTTACAACGGGAATTCCAGATTAGTGTCTTGAGAGCGATGCAACTGGGGTATGTGGAGGTAGTACAGTGGTTAGTTCGACGATATCCCGAAGGTCAAGTACCGTCGAATGCTGTTGCTGAGGCTGCCAAGAACGGCCATTTATTGGTCCTGCAATGGCTGTTTAACCACCACGACTACGTGTATTGGGGAGGAGACGAGATGTATTACGCCGTGGCGAACAATCATCTGGATGTAGCCATGTTCTTGCATGAACACACAGCTCCTCCTCCCGACGACATGTTCCTGATTGACGAAGCTGCTCGTCACGGAGATCTCGAGATGATGCAATGGCTACATAGTGAACGTGGAGACCATTTGACGTACGAAGGCGTGATGCGAGCTGTGGATCATGGATTCTTGGTTGCGGTCAAGTGGATGATGGATACATTCCCAGACTCTGTGGTGATCAAAGATATTCGCATGGACAACGCAGCAGCGAATGGCCATTTAGAGATGATCAAATGGCTACATCAGCACCAAGCATGGTGCACTAAACAAGCCATGAACCGAGCGGCGGGCAATGGGCATTTAGAAATAGTGCAGTTTCTAAATGAGCACCGCTCGGAAGGCTGCACGACCGACGCGATGGACTTGGCAGCAAGTAATGGACACTTGGACATGGTGAAATGGCTACATGAGAATCGCCCTGAAGGATGCACGCCGTTTGCCATGGATTCTGCGGCGAAGAATGGACT